ATTTGACAATCTATGTAATATTTTCATCTTATATTTTGTTCAATATTTGGGATTCCTTTTCTCATGCATATATCTATTTTGTTAGTTATTAAAATAATTGGCTTTTTGGTTTTTGGTAACTTCTTTCTCCTTTATTCTTTGTCTTAATTTTTAATTCTGTCCTTTATTTGTATTCTTTGCTCTCATTTCTTTTTTTCTAGCCCCTAGACTTGAAATTTATTGATTTTTTCTTTCTTTCTTTTTTTTTCCTTTTTAGGTACTGGGGATCAAACTCAGGACCTTGCACTTGTGAGGCAGGCAGTGGTGCCACTGAGCTAAATCCCTGGCCCTGAATTTGTTTTTGATATTATTTTTAAATAAATGCATCGTAAAATTTTATATGTATTTCCTGTATTATGTTCCAAACTAAATGTTTCATATTATAATTGCCTATAACTTATTGTTAAATTTTACCTTTTTTCAAGTAATAAAGTGCTTTTTAATGTATTAATTAATTTTTATTTAGTTGTGATTGGTTATTGAATGTGTTCTGGGTGACATCAATTCTTAGGGGTCTATTTGGAGCCCATTGTACCATTTTAGAAAGTCAATTTGGGGTCCTAAGTTTTTATGTGTGAATGCCTGAAAATAATTCAGGCTTTCTGTTATTTGATGCTAAGTTCTATATTGGTGCTGTATCAAGATAATGAAATGGATTATTATTGCAGTGCTACTATGCTTTTCAGCAGGAGCTATTGATTTTGGTAAACATTAAAACCTCCCTCTGTGATTTTGTTATGTGGTAAAGAGCACTGATTTATTTTCTATTGTTAAACTACCCTTTTGTTCTTGAAATAAAACATACTAGTTATGATTATTCATTTTATTCAATTAGCTAATTATTTATTTAAAATTTTGGCTTCTATTTCATAAAAGATATTAGCCTATAAATTTACATTTTCTGATATTCTTGAAATAAAATACACTGGAAACATCCTCTCTCTCACCCTCGCTCTCTTCCTCTGATAGATGTTGTGTAGGACTGTTTTGTCTTTTCATTAATATTTGAACAATTTCTGAGAAAAATCGTTGGGCCTATACTTTTCTCTGTAGGAAGGTTTTTAAAAATGGACTCAGTTTTTAAAATAGATATAAGAGGATTCTAATATTCTCTTTCATCTTTAGTTTTAATGAGTTCTATACTTCAAGGAATTTGTTCATTTCAATGAAATTCTCAAATTGGCAAAAACCATTCATAATAATAATCTTGTTAATGTCTGTAGAATGTATAGAAATACTTCCATCTTATTTTTAATTTCAATAACTTATATTTTCTTCTCTTAGTCTTGTTAGAAGTTTATCATGTACATTAATTATTTAAAGAACTTTGAGCTTTGTTATGGTTTTCTACTACGTACCTGTCTTTTGGTTCATTTATTACTGTTGTTATTAGCATTACTTCCTTCTATATTCTTTGGGTATGATTTGCTGGTTTTTCTGGCTTGTAAGTTACAAAATTGATTTAAAATTTTTCTTCTTTTCTAATGTAAGCATTAATAGCTATAAATTTCTCTCTAAGATCACAGAAATTGTGATCTATCTTATTCCATTATTGTTTTTTCCTAATTTTCCATTGAGATTATCTTCTTAAAACCTGAGTTATTGGATTATATGTGGCCTTATATCCAAATAATTTGGAATTTTTGTCCTTGATGTATGATTTCATACCACTGTTTTCTGGGAGTCTACTATACGTCATTTTAATCCTTTGAGATTTGTGAAGACTTGTTTCATGATACAGTTTATGGTCCACTCTTGGTAATAGTTTCATGTGCCCCTGGGGAAATCTGTGTAATTGCCAGCTGATGTGTGCAGTTTTTACAAGCACCAGTTTGTTCAAATTAAATAATCATGCTGCCCAAATCTTTCCTATCTTTTGTTTTTGTTTTAAGTAATCTGTTCTATTAATTACCAACCAAGTATGTTAAAATGGCAACTGTAACATTTAGTTCTAGTAGTAATTTATACTTCCAGCAGTGTTAAGTTTTCCTTTATAGATTTTTAAGTTATATTGTTTAATATATACAAATTTTTACTTTCTTCTTGATTGTTGCCTGGGTAGAACTTCTGGTGTGATGTTAAACAGAACCAACAGTAGCACCAACTTTCTCTTATTCCTCATCTCCAGGAGACTGTCAATATTTTGATGTTTGCTGTAGGCATTCTATAAAACATTATTTGTCCGCATAAGTTAGTTTCCTATAAGTCAAATTTGCTAAGAATATGTTTTAAATCAGGAAGGGCTGGTCAATTTTATTAAGTAATTTTCTGCATGGGCCAAGATCATGTAATTTATGTGGTGAATTATATTAAGTGACACAGTCCTTAATAACTAGAATAAATTCTACTCGAACATAATGTATGCTTTTTAACATACAATTTAAGTTTACTTACTAATAAATTGCTTACTTATTTTTTTCTGTGTTCTACACTTCTCTCTTGTACTCGGGGTTTTTGTCTACAGTCTCTATTTTTCCTTCCTGGTAATATTCTTGTCAGATTCTCAAACCAAGGCTATGCTTTCCCACAAATAATTACCTCTTGATCTTCCTGTCTGCCTTTTCCCTTATTTCATTTTACATAATGACACATCAGTTTAGGGTGTTTTGCTCTTAACTCCAACATTTACATCATCTATAGGCTTGTTGCCCCCCTCTCCCTTGGGTTTGTGGTTGCATGGGCTTGTGTCTTGGCACATCTGCCTTTTGATTCTTATTTTTCATTTTGTGCAAATACTGCTTATCTGTGAAGAAAATGCAGAGATTCATACATCTCTGCATGATGTTATTCTTCCTTCAAAGGAATTCTAATTTTCTTCTGATTAGAGACACAGAACAAGCATGTCACTGTTAGTCCTTTTTGCATTGCTTAATATAATATCAGAGCCTGGATAACATAATGAACAGAATTTTATTTGGATCATGGCCAGAAGGCTGGGAATCCAAGAACACGGCGCCAACATCTGCTGAGGGGCTTTGTGCTGCACCATCACAGAGTGGAAGGTGGAAGGTCAAGAGAAGTTGCAAGGTAAAGAGTGCCAGAGGGACTGCACTCGCTCTTGCAGCAAGCCTGCTCCTGTAGTGATGGTTTAATCCACTTGTGAGCAGAGCCTTCGGGATATGACCCCCTTCTTATGAGGTGCAATGTTATTGCATTGGGGTTTACATTTCCAACACATGAACTTTGAGGGGCATATTCAGACTGTAACAACTATGATCCAGTTGGAGTTTCAGGTGTGTTGAAGTCATATTTCAGGCTTTTTCCGAGCATGTATCTGTTCTTAGTTTGCCTTTGTATCTAGGCTATAACCCTCCGTTCATCTCCATTGGAAGCCATGGGCACCGCCTCCTCACATTCCCTCAGCTTTGGTTTCCTCTCCCAGTCTCAGTTAACCCTTAGGCTTCCCTCACACAAAACCATCGACCGTGTCAGCCAAGGAACAAAAGTCACTTTCTCACTGTTCTAAGGGCTGGGAGTCTGGTATCATGGTGCAAGACTGAGCTCTTTTCCCAGCTTTCAGATAGCTGCCTTCTTGCTTTGTCTTCTTATGTCATTTTCTCAGCTCATGCAGGTGGGAAGGGAGCTGGTCACTCCTTTTCTTTTATTTTCTTTTTCTTTTTTTCCACATTGAGTTTATTGGTACTTTTTTTTTTTTCTTTTTGTAACCATAGTATTATCTTTATTTTGTATATGCCAAGAAACTGAAGTTTGATGATTAACTTGTCTAGGTCATGTAGCTGGTGGAGAGCTGGCATTTATAGGTCTGCTAATTTTTTTTTTAATATAGTTTATTGGTACATTTAGGGATACAGTACAGTTACATTCATTGTTGGGATCATGTACCTTTACATGGCAAGTCTTGATTCTCATTTTTTTCCCCTTACCTCTGCCCTCCCTTCACCCCCTCCTCCCCTCCCCATCTACAAACACTTTATTTTCATCTTTTCATTCTCTCACATTTTTTTCTTTTCCCTTTTGGTACTTTTTAAATATACAGTACAGTTGCATTCATCATTGGGATCTTGTACCTTTACACGACAGGTCTTGGTTCTCATTTTTTCCCCATTTCCCTGTTCTCCCTTTACCCCCTCCTCCCTTCCTTATTTACAAAGACTTTCTTTCCATTTTTTCCTTTTCCCATATTTTTTGTTTTCACTTATTTCTTTTCCCCTACCCTTCCCACTTCCCCTACATCCTCAGCCTTTTTCTTCCCATTTCGCATTGTCAGTTATACAATTAGGATCTTATTACACTTTTAGTTTTTCACACTAAAAGAGAGACTATTCAGTATTTACACACGTGTGTCTCATTTATTTCACTTAAGAGTATGACCTCAATATGTATCTGTTTTTCTATGAATGACTCTAATTTCTCCTTCTTTATGGCTGAGTAGGACTCCATTTTATAGAAAAAAACACATCTTTTTTATTCAGTCCCCAACTGATGGGCTGTTTCTATGGTATAGCTATTACAAACTGTGCCTCTGTAAACAGGGGTGTGCGTATATCACTGTGGTATGATTCTTTTAATTCTTTTGGAAAGATACTCAGCAGAGGGGTGGCTGGGTCAAATGGAACCTCTAATCCCAGCCCTTTGAGGTATCTCCATACTGATTTCCATAGTGGTTGCATTAGTCTGCACTCCCACCAACATTGGAGAAGGGTTCCTTTCTCCCCACAGCCCCACCAACATTTGCTATTGGTTGATTTCTTGTTAGCAGCCATTCTTTCTGGGGTGAGGTGGAATTTCAGTGTCATTTTCATCTGCATCTCTCGGATGACAAGTCATGTTGAACATTTTTTCATATATTTACCTGCTGCTTTACTTCTTTGTATGAGAAATGCCTGTTCATTTCAGATGCCCATTTTTGAACTGGGTCTTTATATTTGAGGGGCCTGATTTTTTTGAGTTCTTTATGTATTCTAGATAATAGTCCCTTGTCTGAGGAGCAGCTGGCAAAAAAAAAAATGAAACACTTCATAAATTTGTGTGTCATCCTTGCACAGGGGCCATGCTAATCTTTGTATCTTTCCAATTTTAGTATATGTGCTGCTGAAGAGAGCACTCTCCTTTTCTTTTGTTAGGGCTGCTGTATCCAGCCCCATAGGCCAGCCCCATGAACTGTTTTCACCTTAGTTACCTCTCAAAGTGCTCTTCTCCCACTACCTTCATAGGGGCAGGACTGAGGTGTAGGGAGGGAGGGAGAACATAAAAATTCAACCTAAAGTACACCCAACCTAGTGATGCTGTTAAAAATGTCTGCACAGGATTTTAGCCTTTGTGCTCATCCTCCTCGCTCCCACCCCCAACATGCACCAGATGCCTCTGTGGAAACAGTGTGGAGAACTTGGGCTTCCTCTCCACAGTTCCGTTTTTTCCCTTTATCATGAATCTTCCCGTCATGACTGCATTGGCTGCTCCACAGTGGTTCTCAACATCTGTGCTGTGTATTTCATTCGGCACTCACAGTTGCTTTCCCCAGGAGATTCGGCGATACAAGTTACTCCTTTTAATTTAGCGGCAGTGGTAGAGTCTTTGTTTTCTAAATTGCTTGAGTGAGGAAGAACCCATGAATGCAAGGGAGGCATTCTTTTTAGCAATAAGATCATCTAATTAGAAAGCTCCTTTTGTGCGGTTTAGGTGCTCATAATGAGATGGTATTGTTTGTCTCTCATTTACTCTCTTTATTTACTTCTAATAATCAAATTAATTTCATTTGGGAACTATTTCATCAGCAAAATTATACTTGCCCAAACTGTACATTTGCTCTTCAAAGCTATTTTACTGGATGTCGTGTAGATGGGGAAAAGAGGTTGAAAAATGAGTTGCAATTAAAACTTGGCAAAAAGAAATCTTTGATACACTCACTCCATGTAGCTATTACAAGCAAGAAAAAAATGGAAATAAGTCAACTGTAAGGAGCAAGTCCAAAGGTCTCAGAAGCAAGAGAGTTTTGTACTTTTTATTTCCCTGTTTCTACAAATAGGGCTCTATTCTAAAATAGATAAGATAAATAAGTAAATAGGTAGATAGATACAGATGTGAATTGAAGCATAGAAAAGAAATTTTTAAATTTTCTATGCATATCCCCCTAAGACAAATTTATAAAATGTATAAAACTTTCAAGGTATTATCTTTATTAACCAATTAACAAGATAATTAATTAGATGTCAAAACACCCTAACATACATATTGTCAAAGTTTCAGCATAAATATTCAACCAAAATATGCAATCTATAAGGAATGGGCCATGATATTTTCTTACTGCTACATATCGGTTTCATGCACTGTTATGCTATTTCCTATAAGACTTCAATAAATTACTGTCTCCTACACAGAATTAAGATAATTTCCTGTTGAAGATAAGTAGCAAAACTACTTAGCAATTGACTAGTGTTGTACATAGTATTATCTTGTTCTCATTTATTAATTGTAGAAATGGAGATAATGATTAACTCTACAGAGGAGACTAAAGAACAATACTTTAAAAACAATTATATGGGCTGGACATGGTAGTGTACAACTGTAGTCCCAGTACTTGGGAGGCTGAGGCAGGAGAATCACAGTGAGTGTGATGTCAGTTTGAGATGCATAGTGAGCTCAGGGCTAGCCTGAAGTAGACAGTGAGACCTTATGTTGATAAACAAAAATCATCAACAAACATATGTACTTTGATAATCTTCTTCTACTTGGATACACTTTCTAGGCCAAAACCAAATGAAATCCTCATATCAAAGCAACTAACCAAGTAAATAAATGAAATGACGTATCTTAAGTAATAAATTGACCAGGAAAGACTAGAAAAATGTTATTTATCAGATGCAAGGTATTTTTGCCTTCATAAGAAATGAAATCTTGAATTTTGGGAGATAATCTTCTCAGTTAGGGGATGGGACATGTGTTGAATCTACCACTCGAAAGGACAATTACCTGTCACTGTTATTGCAGAAGACTTCTCCTGTGCAGTAGAGTATGCCAAATAACGATGCTTCATATAGAGAAATTAAAGTTCTGGTTACTAATATAAATAGGATTCACTTTAGTAGATCTTTGTGATTCCACATTATGTTAATGGACTCCATATTTATTTATTTATTGCTGGTGATTTTGGTAGATATACATATTACTCAAACTTTTGTAGCAATAAGATCTCAAAAAGGTTAAAAGTTCTATAGGCTGGGCCAGAATACTATATCACAGAAAAATATTTGATTTGAGAAGGTATTAGTGCTCAACCCGACTGAAAGACCAAAGTTATGGGTGGTGTTGAGGCCGAATAATCTGGACTCTGAGAATTATACTGATAATGAGAAGGCACATTTGATATATATATTGATGAGAATTATGAGCTATCTGGTGGTCTGGTATATTTTGGATACAAAAAGCCCAGGAACATAATGCTGTGTGTAGAATTGGAATGCTTTCTTAAGGGAAATGGCAATCTTAGCAACAGTTATCTCAGTATACTCAACCCTAATGTGAGTAACAGAAGGAAGAGGAGCTCTGACTGAGAAGGGGGAAAACTATTTTCTTTCTGGGACTCAAGGAACTGTGACTAGGGTTTTGGAGAAGAAAATATCATTCAAAGGGTTCCCACTGGGGAAAGCAGTCCATCCTATCCCAACAGCAGCCCAGAGATTAAACAGCCTGATTGACCTATAAAATATAGTAGTGAGACCTCAGGGGCTAGATAAGAAGTTGCACACTAGGGAATTAGCAATGAGGGTCTTAGGGCCATGGCTTCTTTCAAATAACACCCTGTCTGCCTGTAAGTTCTCTGTGTTGTAGTTTCCTCCAATCAGCACCCAACCTAAGTGAAGCCCTCGCTCTGCTACAGTCTGCTGTCCCCTCTCAGCCCTTGGCAGAAGTGTCTCTGCCCACGTCTGACAAAAGTGATTCCAGAAGCACAGCTAGGACCCGGAGGGAGCAAGAAGCAGCCTTCTGAGGCTGGAGCCACACAGTGGACTGGAGGAAAGACCACAGGAGGATGGAATGGGAGACCAACGACTATCCACTGTGGAGGATGAGGCCCAGAGGCCCAGTGGGGAGGCTCACTAAGACCTGGACTTCCAGCAAAGACAAGTAAAGGAGCTCCTTGATACCCATTTGAGTGTTAACCACAGAAGAAACTCACAGACTCTGGGATTCTGGGACATTTGGAAAACACAGCAGAAAACCTTTCACAGATAGGCAGCAAACTATACAGCAAAAATAAAAACCCAATTTTTGCTTCCCACTCATTTGTGATAAGTTTTATGGTTTTTCCATTTTGTGAAGTTTTATCGTGTGATTGTTTTAGTTTTTTTTTTCTTTTACAACACAATTTTTACTTTACATTGAGTGACTTTTTCAGATTTCCATTCCATCTGATTAGACTCATAGTTGGAACCAAATAGCTGTTTTTTAAATGTTAGAGTCCAGGAAAATGTTGCCTTTCTGTGGAAACATAGGTATTTGACTAACTTGGGCAATTACGATGAATAGCAAGAGTTATTAGTCCTGGTCTTTATGTGTGTTTACTTAATACACACATAGGCACATTTAGACTCAGTCAATCGACACTAATTTTATGTTTATTTAAGATGATATTTTAGGATTACAGTAATGCCTCAGTTCATAAACAACTATATTCTTGAACAACTCATTTTCCAAACAGAATCATTTGGAAAAACTTTCCTTCCTATTGTGAACTCCTCATCGGGTGGCAAACACATCTGTCTTTGCTGCATGAACATGAACGTGGCATGAACGTGACCATCTTCCCCAGAGTCATGGAATAAATTAAGATTGTGAACCAAGGCACCACCGTATATTCCCAAATAACACGAGGCATGTATTAAAAACAGATTTGGGGGCCATACCTCTAAAATTCTGACTTAGAAGGACTAGTAGAAGGTTCAAACATCTACATTTTAATAAAGCTTGTTGGTGTTTATTGTGTCAATATTTGAGAACACCGCCGGCGGTCTCTCCATATGTCAGATGTTTATAACTTAAGACGTTCACAGCTATTTCACTCACAGTAGATGCTCAGAACCAAAACACTAGTTTTTTTTTGGGGGGGGGTGAATAGAAAATCAGCTTAACAAAATACAAGGAGAGTCAGGGATTTTACCAGTGCAGTAAAAGAGTTTATTTCTATTGTTTCTATTTAAGCTGCATAGACTAATATGTACGACCATAAAGCTTGTGCACATTAGCAGGGAACAACCTGGTGTTTCAATACATGTGTATGGTGTGTAATGCTTAAGTCAAGTCAGATATGCTGGTCCCTCATTGGCCATTTCTTTATTGTGAAAACTCTTAGAACCCCTTCTTCTCGTTTTTTGAGGCACACGGTGCATTGTTGTTATCTGTAGTCACCCTTGTGTACAATAGCACCACAGAATGTCTCGTAACTCAGGACTCACTGATCTACTTTTCCACATCTCTCCCTGTTCCACTTGCCAAGCCTCTAGCACCCATTTGGATTCATATTGAGTTGCTGGCCACAGTGAAATTTTAGTCCCACTTTGCAGCATTGTGATGTCACTTGAAAGAAAGCCGGAAGTAATTTCTGCTGATTCCCATGTTGTCCTGTCTCAGCCTCCTACCTCCTACCACTCCACCATCTTTGCAACAGCTTCTCAGAGATGGAATTGAGGACATCGCCGTTGCAAGGAAAGCCTGAGAATGGATGCTTCTGACCCCTTGGTGTATTAGCTAGACCGAGAATTTCCAGTCAGTCAGTGACATTTCCTAATTACCACTTTTATTTTACCATAGTGGTGGTAAATTCGCATCTGTAGTCCTATTGGACTCACATTAGCACTCTAATTTTTTTCTAAAGGCTCAGTATAAATTCTGTGTTGGTATCTTTCTGATGACATCTATTTCTCGGCTTGACTGTTTTGCTTATATTCATAATTTTTCCTTCTTCCGTGTCTGTTCCTTTTTCCTTCCCTCCTTCTTTTACATCTTACCTGTAATTTTTTTTCAGTACTGAGGATTTAACGTAAGGTTTTCCCACTGAGCTACATATCTAGCCCTTTTTTTTTTTATTTTAAGACAACTTACCTAAGGCTC